GTTCAGGTCTTTTGTTGCTCTGGGCTACGTTTTGGTAAATGGTGGGAGTCTAAGAACCTTTCCATTTCCTGATGGTCTTCTGAGTTGTTGGAGTACGATTATTTGTAATAATCTCTGATTATTTTCTTGATGGTTTCAGTGTCTGTTGTTATGTTGCCTCTTTCATCCTTGATGCTATTAATTCTCACTTTCTCTTGTTTTTTGTCAGTTGGGCTAGTGGGGTGTCTATTTTGTTTATCTTCTCGAAGAACCAGCTTTTTGATTGGTTGATTTTGTGTATAGTTTTTAAAATTTCTATTTGGTTTATCTCCTCCCTGGTTTTGATAATTTCTTGTTTCCTGTTGTTTGTAGGGTCATTTTGCTGTTGTTTTTCCAATTCCTGGAGGTGTGTGGTTAATTCCTGTATTTAGTATCTTTCTTGGGCTTTGACGTAAGCACCAATTGCAATGAGCTTACCACATAGCACTGATTTGGCAGTGTCCCATAAGTTCTGGAATGTTGTATGTGAGTTTTCATTGGTTTCCATAAATTTTTTTATCTCATCTTTAATTTCTTCTCTGACCCATTGTTCATTTAATAGCATATTGTTCAACCTCCAAAGTTTATATATTTCCTGGGACATTTTGAGTTGTTGACTACCAGTTTCACTCCTTGGTGGTCTGAGAAGGTGCATGGTATGATTCCGATTTTTTTAAAGTTAGTTAGGCTTGTTTTGTGTCCTGTCATGTGGTCGATCCTGGAGAAGGTACCATGCACTGCTGAAAAAAATATATAATCCACATCCATAAGGTGAAAGGTTCTGTAAATAGCTACTACGTCCAGTTGCTCTATTGTTTATGTGAGTTCTATTCTTTCTCTGTTGAGTTTTTGTCTTGTGGATCAGTCTATTGGTGTTAATGGGGTGTTGAGGTTTCTACGATTATTGTGTGAACATCTATGTCTCCCCTTAGGTCCATCAGTAATTGCTTCACATAGCGGGGTGCATTTGCGCTTGGGGCATAGATATTAAGGATGGTAATCACTTCCTGTTGGATCATTACTTTCAATAATATAAAATGTCCTTCCTTATCTCATTTGATGTTTCTCACACTGAAGTCTATATCATCTGAGATGAGGACTGCTACACTGACCTTTTTTTCTCATCCAATGGCATGAAATATCTTTTTCCATCCCTTTACTTTCAGTTTCTTAGCATCTTTTCTGGTCAGATGTGTCTCTTGTAGGCAGCAGATAATTGGGTCCTGTTTGTTGATTCAATCTGTTAATCTATGTCTTTTTTTTTTTAATGGGAATTAAAATTTTTATGCTTTCCCATATCTAGCAAGCATATTTTTACCAAAGAAATACCTCCCAACACTTGGTATTATATTGGGAACTGTATGTTTCCAATTTCCCACCCTCCCCAGGTCCTGGATGTAGGGTATGCTCTGAGGTTCTTGCTCAAGTTATGAATTGCTGCCAATCTTGCCACTCCAAGCACTATGAGGTCTTTGAAGAATCCACTGATTGACCTAATCCACCATAGAGTCTCTGTTTGCCCCATATTTTGCTGCCAAGATATAGCTGAGATGGTTGGTTGACCTGTTCTGTCTTCTATCTTTTCTTGGTTCAGGTTCTGAGTCCAGCACTAAATTGTGGAGATCTCCAAAGAAACTGTCTGAGGTATTCTCAAAGCAGATTCTTGTATGTGGTAATAAGTACAGGGCCTGGCACAGTCCATCGCCCTGATCAGCTGGTGGTTGCAATTGCTGGGTTGGTTCTGTTTTCACTCCCGACTTCCACTGGAACCAATGGGTGTTGCAGTCCAGCCTGGTTCTGCCCAGCAAATACTCAGCCCTTGCATAAACCAGTGGGAGCTGCAGCCTAGTTGGAGCGACCCGCAATAACCCCCTCCAGGCCTGCCCCCTACCCTGGTTTGCCAGTATGTGTAGCAGTAGTCCAGTCTGTCCCACACCCCATTCCAACCCAGCTGCTGTCCTAGTTTTATGCCCTCCTGTGGAAGTGGTAAACCAAGAGGAAAGAGCCCACCATTTCCCTCCCAGGCCTCTCTCACTCCCAGATTATGCACTCTCGAGATAGTTCTGTGGTTTGACTTGACAGAACTAGCCCCAGTGCCAGCTTCTGCCAGCTGATGCTGTGGCTAAGCTCAAACAACCCTCACTCACTCTAATTTTGTTGCACCAGTAGGAAAAATCAGCCCAGCCTGGCTTTTCCTTGATCTAGTCCACATGAGGCCCACAGGTGTTGTAGCGCTGCCTAGTCTGGTCTGCCCCCATCCCAGCCTACACTCTCCAGCAAGAGTAGCTGTCCAGCAAAGGAACCCTCCCTTATTCCCCTGCTGGCTCTGCCCCCTCCCTTCCTTGTTCTCACGCTTGCTGGTTGGGTGCTGTGGTCCCTTCCAGTATAGGCAACCTCACCTTGGCATTCCGTATTGTGGACTAGTCTTTGTTGCGACCGAACCTGGTTCAACCCACACTGTTCTGGTGCTTGGATTTGCCAGTGGATGACGTGGACAGATTCAGCCTGGTCTTCCCCAAACTCCTGCCAAATGTATGCCAGTGGGTGACTTTCCATGGCCTGTTCTGGGCTGTTTCCTGTCATGTTTCTTGCGCTTACCTGTCGGGTCCGTGTCCTGCCAGAGGAGTTGCCCAGGCTCCTCCATCAGAACCTCTCCCAATGCCAGTTTTTATGCATACCAGTGGGTCCATGAGCCAGCCCTACTCAGTCCACCTCCTGTCCTAGCAGAAACAGTGGCTTTTCCTGACTGGCCTTCAACCCAAACTGGTTCTTGCTGTTGGATGTTTCAGCCCAGCCATGATTTGTCCATACCCACATATGGCTCACGCATTGCTCAGTAGGGAGTTGAGACCTTGCCTAGTCCATCGCACATCTATCCCGGTCCTCCAGGACACCAGAGGGTGCTGGGGTCTGGCCCTGCTTGGTGCATCCAATCCCAGTCCACATTGTGCCAAGGGAGACTACAGCCTTTTCCTGATCAGAACGCAGCCCCCATTCCAGGCCACATGCCCCTTGGTGGGAACCTCCACCCAGCTAGGGTGTCCCCTTAGCTCCCCAACTGGGCCTGTTCCCAGCCATAGATCACATGCATGCCAGTGGTTGCTCTGACTCAGCTTGATACAGCCCCTCACCTGTCCCGACCTCTGCCTTAGACGCTGTGACTTGGCGTTCCTGGCTCACGCAGACCAGTAGGTGCAAGAGCCTAGCTCGGCATGACATGTGCTCCATCCTGGTCTCTAGTTTTGCTTGTGCGCTAAGGTTTGCACAGTCCTACCTGATCTACCCTGTTCCATTATCAATTGACACATTTGTCAGCTGTTGGAGCTGCTTTGCCCAGCTTGTCTGAGCCCCAGGTCTGGACCACATGTTCACCAGCTGGAGCTATGACTCGCCAAAGGAGTTTCCCAAGTTCCTCCAATTAATCCACTCCCAGACCCAGTTCTCATACGTGCTATTGGGTTTAAGCCAGTGCCCGGTGCATTCTGGCCTTCCATTTGGCCTTGTATGAGCTGGTGAACATTGCAGCCCAGCCCACCCCACACCCTAATCAGGATGCACATTAGGGTGCTGCTGCCCTGACCAGTCCAGACTATTGGGGGTTCCTTTACCTGTGATTGATGGCAGACTCCTTGGTCACACCTAGCTTAGTCCATCACCACCTCAACTCTTGAGATAACCAGAGGGGCTAGAATTTCCACAGGGTGTGGCCCACATATCCCTCACAGAATTTAGCCCCGGTTATGGTTCTTGAGTGCTACTTTATGTAATGGTTTACTTAATGTGACACTTCTCCTGATCCATCATCATGTCAGGTAACATTGTATGATTCTGCAGGACAGGCCATGACCCATAGCTTTTGCATGGACTGGTATTTGGTGGTAAGCATTGTTCAGTGATTACAAGTTTCATAAAGAAAGAGTTCATTGGGAATCTTTACAAATGCTTCATGTCCTAGAAGCACAATGGGTCCAACCTGGAGCTAACTAAGCAGCGACTCACAGAACTAAAACCTCAGAGCTCCCTGGCCGGGCAGCCAGCAGAGCCTGGTACCAAATGGCACAATGGCCACTAGGGGACAGCTCACCACATGCACATGGTGGCTGTCGTCTGGGATCCAGGCATGAGATGCCCCGTCCTGAGACCCATCAACAGCCAGGAGGCTGCTGGAAGTTTAAACTCCCAGGCCCAAGGTCGCACCCCTCCCGAATCCCATTCACCACCCAATGAAGGCGGCGGGTGGGTCCCGGACCTGCCCAGTCCCAGACGTCCACCCTTGGTGTACTAACCCTGAAGGGAGCAGCCCCTGGAGCCTAGGCAGGCCCGGGGACAGCTCACCACGTGCACATGGTGGCTGTCGTCTGGGATCCAGGCATGAGATGCCCCGTCCTGAGACCCATCAACAGCCAGGAGGCTGCTGGAAGTTTAAACTCCCAGGTCCAAGGTCGCGCCCCTCCCCAATCCCATTCACCGCCAAATGAAGGCGGCGGGTGGGTCCCGGACCTGCCCAGTCACAGAGACCTCCCCCCTTGGTGTACTCACCCCGAAGGGAGCAGCCCCTGGAGCCTAGGCAGGCCCGGGGACAGCTCACCACGTGTACATGGTGGCTGTCGTCGGGGTCCAGGCATGAGATGCCCCATGCTGAGACCCACCAACAGCCAGGAGGCTGCTGGAAGTTTAAACTCCTAGGCCCAAGGTCGCACCCCTCCCCAATCCCATTCACCGCCAAATGAAGGCAGCGGGTGGGTCCCGGGCCTGCCCAGTCACAGAGACCTCCCCCCTTGGTGTACTCACCCTGAAGGGAGCAGCCCCTGGAGCCCAGGCAAGCAAGGGAACCAGTTACCCGGAGGGAGTGCCCCTGGAGCCCAGGCAGGGCTGGGGACAGCTCACCACATGCACATGGTGGCTGTCGTCTGGGATCCAGGCATTGATGCCCTGTCCTGAGACCCACCAATCTATGTCTTTTGACTGATGAGAGTAGGCCATTTGTGTTAAGAGTTAATATTGATAGGCTACGATTTTGCCCTGCCGTGTGTGTGTGTTTGTGGGTGTGGATATCTGTTTAACTGTCTTTCCTTGTGTGGGCTTTAGTGGCGAGGTCTTGCCATCTGCCATCCTTGCTTATGATTTGCCTCCTTTTTTTTCTGGGTTTAGCACATTTCTAAGGAGATTTTTGTAGAGCTGGCTTTGTGCTAGTATATTTTTCTAGTTTCTCTTTGCTATGGAAGTATCTAAATACAATTGATATCTTTGCTGGGTACATAATTCTTGGCTGAGTGTTCAGGATTTGAAAGATCTTGGTTCATTCCCTCCTAGCTTGGAGAGTTTCTTCTGAGAAGTCAGCAGTCATTCTGATTGGTTTGTCTCTGTGAGCTTGTCTATGCTTCGTACATGTCAGATTTCTTTCTTTGTATTTGCTATAGGGGAGCTTAAGTACCACATGGCTGGGTGAGGATCTCTTTGGGTCGAATCTGTAGGGGGCTCTCTGTCCTTCCTGGATTTCGGGTGGATTCATGTTTCTGGTATTTTGGAAGTTCTCCTGTATTATTTCATTGAGCACCTGTTGTGAACCTGTCTCTCTTTCCACTCTTTTGGGAAGGCCTATTTCCTGAATGGTCCTGTTGGCTTTGTTCGGGTTTTTCTCCAGCTGTATGATGGGGTGCTTGTTTTCATTCTGATCATCTTCCATTTCTGATATTCTATCTTCTGTAAGAGCTTAGAATAACTGCTTGATTCTGCTTCTGTATATTGCTTTCTGCTGAGCAAGAGTGGAACCATGTTGGAATAAGTATAGAGAAGTCATTTCATGAAACAAGTTTTAATTTCCCAGAAATGAGTCAGACAATTACAGGAATAAAGAAGATAAAGAAGCAAGGCCAACACAAAAATGTAATGGATAAGAAAGTGAGAAAGTACCGGGTCACCTAGTCCTAAGATGAGGAATACAGACTGTCAACAATTGAGAAAATATACAAAGTTAAGGGACCCCCGGGCTATCTAATCTAAAAGTGAGAAATGCTGACTATTATGCAGAGTTTATAATTTTGCCCTATAAAAACTGTTCCAAAATGTTTATAAGGTGCGCAGAGTCCTGGGTGCCTCCAGATTACTCTGTTGCCCATTTGCGAATGCTCAATAAAATCATCATGCTTATTGCAGCCTCTGCGTTGGACTTGTTTTGCCAATGATGGTGTGGCTCCCCTCCACGGGGTTGGACTCTCCCCGAGTCTAACACTTCTACTAAATTCTTTCTGTTGATTAGGCTCTCCACTTTGTGCTCTATGTTAAGGATTCCATTATTCATTTGCTTTATTTCCGCAGCAACGTGATTTTGGAATTCTTTGAACTCTTTCCAGTGTTTCTCATTGGCTCTGAAGAGTTTTCTGAGTATTTTCTTGAATTCCTTCTCTGGCATCTCCTCAATGTCTTCATCTCGCATTTCAGCGACTGAGATTGGTTTTTGGTTGTTTTGGGGGGAGGTGCTGGTTCTTTTGTTTGAATCATTACTTTTTCTGATAATCCTCCCCATTGCGTTGTGGTTTCTTGTCGTTTTGGACATACTTTGACCTCGGTGCAGTAGCTTAGAGCAGATGTGGCCGTGTTCCTGCTGTATGGATTGCAGACAGAAGTGTAATTCTCTGTACTTTATTGGGGACAGCAAGCGTTAGTGGGTCATTAAGTAGTTTTGTTTATCCCTGGATTTATACATTTACAACTGGGTTCCCCTGCAGTTTTTTGGCTACTGTAGTAACTCGAGTGTGCTCTCAGGGGTGGGGAATAGGTAAGGAACTTTACAGCCTTGGGATTTCTTGTCTTTTGCTCTGGGCAGATTTGGGTGACCCTCAGCAAGACTTAGGCCCTATTACCCTTGGGAGGTAGCAATTTTGGGGGTTCCCCTCCTGTGGCTTGGTGCTCACGTTTGCCACCACCACTGGGGCCTTTGGCGCCTTCGTGGTCTTGGTCAGTTGTTACCGCCACCAGTGGCTCTGACTTCGTGATTTGGTGTCACATCGCCAAGGGCTCTGGTTTCACAAGTCAGTGACACGGCTGCTGAGGCCACCAGCACATCTACAGGGAATTCTGCCCGGGTCTAGACGCTCTCCGTGTGGTGCACCTAGACACCCAAGTCTCCTATACTGAGGTGGTTGCTTGTCTGGGGAGCAGGATCTGGTAGCCTCTGCTCCCGCTCTGCTGCCACTTTTGCCTGGGCTGGCCCTGAATTCAGATACGCTGCAAACTCTGACGCCTCTGCTGTGACCCGTGGAATTTCTCGGTAGCCGCAGCCACTAGTTGCTGCATCTCAGGGTCACAGGCTCGGCTGCCGAGCACCTCCAACCCATGGGCCTAGACACTCAAGACTCCTAATACTGAGGTGGTTTCTTGTCCGGGGAGCGGGATCTGGTAGCCCTCGCTCCGCTGCCACTTTTGCCTGGGCTGGCCCTGAGTTCAGACATGCTGCAAACTCTGGCACCTCTGCTGTGGCCCGGGGAGTTTTGCAGTAGCCTCAGCTGCTGGCTACTGAGCCTCAGGGTCCAGGCACCCGCCCGCTACAGAGGCATTTTAATATCGGGGCAGTGGGGGAGGGGAGGGCTCCTGCTCGGCTGCCTCCTTTGCCAGGGACACCCCAAAGTTCAATATCGCCACCAATACTAGGTCTTTGGCACTCCTGTGGTCTGTGGCTATCTATTCCCCTTTCCTGTTTCTTTCACTATGCAAACATCCCCTCAAGGCAGATAACTTTGGTGCCAGAGCCCAGGATTGAGTCATTCAGCGGAACCCTATCAAAAGCAGCTGAATGAATGAATTTGAGTGAGTGAATTCCCATCCATGCCCTAGTGAATCTCTGGGCTGTCTACTCCACTCATCTGGGCTTCCAGGCTAATACCCATGCATGCCACAGGGTAATCCCAGGGATTTAAGAGCTCTTGGCTCAATCCAGCTCTCAAGTCCCTAGCTCCTTCTGAAGAGAGACAGTGGGCTGACTAGGCAAGTACTGACTCTTGTAGCTACAGAGTTAGGACTGCAGTACCTAACAGTTCCAGGCTGGGCTGGATCTGGAGCTGATTTGTTTTCCTGGGTCCATTTCAGTGCAAAGAATCTCAGCATTTAGTTGGCAATTGGCAGTTCCTAAGGGTGGGTAAAGGATTCCAGCTACCCTTTCATGAATCTTAAGATTTTGGCATAAAGGACCCCTAACTTTCAGGATCTTGGTATGTTGACTAAAATATTGATTGCTTATGAAGTGCATGCTAAGATTATCATTTACTTTTCAGTATGCATATTATTTACTCTGCAAATCAAACATATTTTCTAAGATATTAAAAGTGTGCATTGGAGAGACATGACAATGAGTCCAAAGCCATTCAGTGAAGGTTACACACACAGGAGTTATGTTACTATGCCTAGAAAGGCAAGTGGCCTTCTGGCTCCTGAGACAGCACAGATGACCAGTTCATGACTAGTTGCAGCTTACAGCTAATCACAAGGGAGAAGCACTTCCTGCTTGTTTCTGCTTTGGCTAGACTCTTCCCCAGGCCTTCACCCAGATGCCGGGCTAGGTGGGAGTCTTCTATCCCCTCCCCTTCCAACTACCCCCAATACCTTTGCTTGTCCTAGCAGTTAAAATACAAAATGAATTTACTGAAAACTAAAGGTGTCACATTTTTTAAAAATCAAGTCATATTCTAATTTCTTCTGTGCATTTATTTCACAGTTCTCAGTAGGTTATGTTCAGTAAACTTCTGCCCCTTATTGGTCTGTCCGACAGTTTAAGAAAACAAAATAAAACAAAAACAATTAGCCAAAACAATAACTCTAATCTGCTGTGTGAAAGGCTAGAGGCTCAGAGGTTTGCATGTACCTGTTCCTTGCTGTCTTGCTCCCCTGGACAGTCCAACATCGCCAGCACTCCATATGTCTGCTCCCCTACAAGCAACCAAGAGACACAGCTAGCATGAGACCCGGCAACAAAAACACTTGGGTGAAGAAACCCACAGAACCTCCTCAAACAATTGAGATACTTTCTGAAATGAAAATTCCCAATCTAAAGAGAATCTCTGGTCACTCCCCAGAGATAAGCTTCTAAAAACAGATGCTTGAACTAGCAGCACCAAAGGGAAACATCACAACCAAGCAGGTGGTGCTGTGATTCTGTGATGACTCCAGGTGGCCAGCTTGAATTCTGTAGCATTGGCATGAACAACATCGGCTTGAATTCTGTGGCAGTGGCATTAACTCAGCGGGAAAGACTGATTGACCGGTATGTTGCTTCTCAAAGCACTCCAAAAGCCCTCGACTCATGCACACAGAGGGGAAAGGAAAGAACAATGACATGAGCATTCTGTAGGCTTAATATTAAAGAATGACTCAAAGGGCATGCACACACGCCAAAAAGCCAGGATGAAAAGTCAACAAAAACCTAATGTTTATATGGTGGTAGTTTTACTGGTTTAAAGAAAAATTTTTTTCTAGGGCCAGTGTGATAGTGTAGCGGTTAAAGTCCTCGCCTTGAATGCACCAGGATCCCAACAACCCACTTCCCATCCAGCTCCCTGCTTGTGGTCTGGGAAAGCAGTGGAGGACAACCCAAAGCTTTGGGACCCTGCATTGGTGTGTGAGACTCTGAAGAAGCTTCTGGCTCCTGGCTTCAGATTGGCTCAGCTCCAGTGTTGCGGCCGCTTGGGGAGTGAATCACCGGACAGATCTTCCTCTCAGTCTCTCTTCCTCTCCATATTTCTGACTTTCCAATAAAAAAATAAATAAATCTTTTTAAAAGTTTTCTAAATTTAGAATAATCTTCTGAGTTTATGTAGCTTTTATAGCCACCAAGAATAGTTGATTGGTCAGCAATTTGAAGGTAGCCCTTGTGGGATCTGGATTTTTTCAGATAGGAAAATGCACAGAGGATTGGATCAGGGTCCTTCTATGGCACCAGAAAGGAATTTTGGCTGAAGCACCCCAAGAGGTTGCGGGCAGATGATGCTGGGGCTCAGGTGTGTGGGGCAGATCTGGGGGTCCTAGGAAACTGCAGCAGATAGAAAGCAATTACTCAGGGGTGGGTATTGTGGGCCTGCATGTTAAGCACCACCTGCAACACAAACATCCCAACTCAGAGCTCTGGTTTTAGTTCCAGCTCCTCTGCTTCCCGTGTAGTAGATGGAAGCAGAAGATTGTCCAGATACTTGGGCTCCTGTGCTCCTGCACCTAGGTGAGATCTTGGCTTCAGCCATGGCCATTGGGGAATGAACCAATGGATGGGAGCGCTCTCACTCTCTCTGCCTTTCAAATAAATAAAATCATTTTTTAAAAATAAAATTGCCCTTGTTGAAAAAAAAAAAAAAACAGAGAGGAATCACTTGCAATTGACCAAGATCTCTTGACATGGAGAACAAAGTAAAACTTTTCTTGAGAGAAACGGATTAACCAAAGAAGCCCTGAGCCATTACAGGAATCCAGCAAGCCAGTGCATTCCACAGGCAGCACATGCCACAATGAAAAAGAACGCACAGCACTGCTACTGACTTGGTACCAACTTCAAATATGCCACATGGATTCTGCAGGGTCTATACTTGAGGCCCTGGAAATGGCGGTTGTGGAGAAGGGATGAATGGACACTAAACCCTCATGGTGACATTAGACAAGCTGGTGGAAGGGAAGGGGCTCAAAGTGGCTGCCAGGGAGTAAGTGAGCTCAGTCAACCTCGATTGACACCTGCCTCCAAGACTTATCATTTGTATATGTGCCTAGAGTTTCCAGGGTCATTCTTCTCCCTGGAATAACACAGAACCCAACCCACAGGTCTGCTTAGAGGCAGCTATGGCCAGGACAGCCCTGGCTGCCTCAACCCATTCAGCTTTCCCCAACAACCAGGCTATCTCTACCTCCACTGGAGTCTTCGTAGTCATGGATTTTCACCAGCAGGTTCTTGTCGATTTGGTCACAAATCTTTTTCAGGGTGTCCAAGTTCTTCTCCCCAAGAATCATCCTCTTCTCCATCTCTGTAAAGATGTCCAGCAAGCTCTGGGGAAGGAGAGGACTGGCTGAGCCATCGTGGGCTTAGATGACACCATCTCTCACTCCACTTCCTCCCAGCCAAGCCCCTGAGAGTGGATGCAGGTTTCCTGCAGCCAGTTGACTGGCCAGGGCGTGAGTTTAGATTTTCCAGCCCAGAAAGAAGTAAAGGATAGAGAAGTAACCATATCCCATGAGGCCCTGCGCTCCAAATGCCTCCTTTATGTGGACACAGATGACCAGCCTGACATACTACCTGATGTGATTTCTGGGATCAAACCCACCACCAAGCCTGAATTCACACACACAGACACAGAGACACACTCCCAGACACAAGCAAGCATGCAGATCCTCACACGAGCCCATATACCACATGGACTCGCAGACATGCACTGACACAGAGGCATAACCACAGATCACACACACTAAACACAGACACACATGCACTCATGGAGGTCTAAATACCAATTTTTTGAGGGGCCACAGCAAAGAGAGAGTGTCTCTGGTCACCACTCACTTCCTTGCCCCCCCAGTGATCCATTCTGGGTCATATGCATAACCCACTCTGGACCGTATGCGTACCTCACTCTGGGTTGTGAGCATAACTCAGTCTGGGCTGTGTGCATAACCCACTCCAAGCTGTGTGCACAAGCCTCTCTGGGCTGTGTACATAACCAGCTGCCCATCAGGCCTCTGACTCGGCCTTACTTCCTAGATAGTTGGTATTCAGAACTTCATAGTAGAAAGGTGCCACACCCATAGTGTTTACACCTGCCACCTGCCTTCTGTGCTGGCTAGGTAAGAATGCACGTTGCTTTGTCCAGCACAGCCCCTGTGCCTCTCAGAACCACTTCCCAAGCTGACTGTTTCTCAGGACTCCACCTTTAGCAGGTGCCAGGTCTTACCATGTTATCTTCCAGTTTGCATTTGGGTATCTCTTTGCTCAAAAAAAATTTAAAAGTTTTCAATCCATCTTGGCTTACATCTTCTGAAATCTGGAAGAGCATGACCCTGAAAGGTGAAATATACACTTGAGAAAGAGTTTCCTAAGTCATTTCTCTTTTGCAGTGTATAGTCACAGAGGACCTGATCCCAGTGGCCTTTCAGGAGAGGAAGCCAAACAGTGAACACGGAGAAAGCTAGAATGATGAAAGAATTCCATTGGCTCACGCCCAGCTATGCCACTGAGGCATAAAGCTCAATTTACCTTTCAGTTAATTTTGGTTAAACTGATTTTGTTTTTCCTTTGTCTTTCTCTACACAACAGCTTTTGGAAGTCATACTTTCCAAATCTCTTCTCTTACTAAAACTTTGGCCAGTGTCCTCCAAGTGCAAGGGCAAACATTTGGTTCTTGAATACAAAAAATCCACAGTGAACACCACAGCTCTCCCCAGCACCAAAGACCTGGAAGTTCCACATGAGCAGCTGCCCTCTCCTCCCCCACTTTATTCTGAGTTTTGCAGAACTCGTTTCCTGTCCGCCAGCAGGTTCCCAGGCAGCACTTCCTGGGTGTGTCCTCATAGCTGCATTCGCTCTCTGGTTCCTTTGCGCAACCCAATGCCTAATGCTCAGATAGTAATTGCCTGTTCCTAACCTGCCCCAGTCCTCTGACAGCTGGTCCCATGTCTGGCTTCCGGTGCATAAACCCAGAGGACTGTAAGATGGCAGGCTTCAGTGCAAGGCCCCAAATTTCTGCACTTAACTCCTTGGCTTCACCACCTTTCAGGCTATGATCTAAAGTAGGCTACATATCTTGCCCTCCTCTGTAATCTGAAATAACTGTGTTTCTACCTCAAAAGCAGATGCTGATAATTGCATGAGTAAATACTTAAAACAATCTTTGGCAACATACAAGTGAGTAACAGGCCCTTACTTTTTCCTAATCTATGTCAGGCACATTCGGAATTGGAGCTAATTGAAAGCCACCATGCTTAACGACACGGTGTTCTGGACTTTTACTTTCCTCATTCTTTTTTTTTTAAGCTTTATCTTATTTTTATTGAAAAGTTAGATAAACAGAGAAGAAGGTCTTCTGTCCAGTGATTCACACCCCAAGTGGCTGCAATGGCCTGAGCTGCTCCAATCTGAAGCCAGGAGCCTGGTGCCTCTTTCAGGTCTCCCATGTGGATTCAGGGGGTCCCAAGGCTTTGGGCTGTCCTCCACTGCTTTCCCAGACCACAAGCAAGAAGCTGGATATGAAGCATGGCTGTCAGGATTAGAACCAGCATCCATATGGGATCTCGGTGTGTGCAAGGTGAGGATTTTAAGCCACTAGGCTACGATGCCAGGCCCATACTTTCCTCATTCTAAAAACCTGTTTGTGGGCCTGACGCAGGGCAGGCTAATGCTCTGCCCTGTGCTGCCAGCATCTCATATGGGTGCTGGTTCTAATCCTGGCATCCCCGCTTCCCATCTAGCTCCCTCTTATGATCTGGGAAAGCACTGAAGCATGGACCAAGCCCTTGGAACCCTACACCCACACAGGAAATGCAGAAGAAGCTCCAGGCTCCCAACTTCGGACAGGCCCAGCTCTAGCCATGTGGCCATTTGTGGAGTGAACCAGCTGATGGAAAACCTTCTCTCTGTGTGTTTCTTCTTTTTTCTCTGTAAAATCTTCTTTTCAAATAAAAATAAATAAATTCTTAAAAACTTACTTGCTTGTATCATCCTTGCCTGGTAATAAACCTGGATGATTCATGAGACATTTATTTTGTGTTAGCAATTATAATTTGCAAACTCTAGCATGGTTTTATCACCATGCTCACCCAATTTGTTAAACATTGCAGTAGACAGATGCTCTCCTGGTTCATCCAGGGGATTCAAGCCCTCCACCAGATGGGTCCAGACCATCACTAGCACTGGCAATCTTAGCCCAGCTCACAGGGCTGAACAAGTGAAACCTTCAGGAGACCAGGATGCCGTCACAAGTTGTGAGGCTGTCATATCTCAGAATTAATTCATGCCTTAAGAAATAAACCCCTTAGAACATAGCATTCACACTTCTAGAAAACCAAAGCCACCCCCCAGAAACTCACATCTACTTGGGATGTGTGACCATGACCTTTGTTTATCAGAAGATCTTTTCAGATAACAGCTCATGGCCATGGCTCCTACTGAATTGGGCTAGGTTCCAACTCAGTGGCTGACACACGTCAGCAGAGATTAATGGATGCATCTCTGAAACATAGCACCACAAGAATAATTAGCATCCATACAGGCTAGGAGAGACATGGTACATACACTCCCTCAGAGTCCCCGGAAAGGAGCTGGCCCCAGGGATATTCTGGACTCTGCCTTGGAGCCTACAGAGAACTCTGCCAGGACATATTTCTCCACTGTTGCGAGCCACCAGGTTGTGATTCTTTGTCACTGCAACCTTGGGAAAGAATCCACCCAGATTGTCTCTTTCATCAGTTAAAACCAACCTGATCAAGTCTCAGACAGGGAGACACCTGACAAGGGACATGCAGAACCTCAGGTCTCCAGCAGTTAGGTCTCCAGCACATTAGTGGCTAGGCTTTCGGCTACAGCAATTGTCAACTGTTAGTCTCCATCTCATGTGCTATAGTTAGTGACAAATGAGCAAGGATGATGAAATGGGCCACAGCTGAGAATTATGTAGAAGGCCTCTGAGGGAAAGCTAAAGATGACCTTCAAGGAGTGTCTCAAAACAGGAAATGTTCAAATAGAGAAGGTGACAGTGGATGCTGTTCTTAATCTTGGCTTGGAATCAGGAAGCTGTTACTTAATTTAGTGAGATGAGCCAAAGCCCTGACATTCTTCTGAAGATGCTCAGACACCTGGGGACAGCCAGGCTCATGGGAAGGAAGCAGTCACTGCAGGCTGAGGCTGGGCAGCATATGCCTTATTCTAGAACTTTCTCATTTCAGTATGCAAGTGAAGAATAGGAGCCTTAACTCATTGAAAAATTCCCTAGGCCTCCACAAGCCAGTGGGAAATAGGGATGCTTTATTCAGATGGAAAAAATGAACACCCAATCTTAGCATAAGAAAGGCAGAGTAACAGACAGAGACAGAGAGACCAGGACATGGGAGAAATGTGGAGAAATGCTAGATTTAATACGTCTATGGGTAATGTTTTGCTTTGAAAAATCAATTGTTTTCTGATTTTAGCACATTTTTGTTGAGTTATATATAAGACTCTAAATTTCTTAATCCTTCCCTGTTGGGAATCTGTACAGACAACCCCATGTCTGCCTTGCCCGCAGGATGTACCCACTCAGGCCTCAGAGTTCAGTGCACCCACCTGTAGGCAGAAATCTGGGCCCTTCCAGGGATCTTCAGCTCGTCCTCCATCTCCTTCTTGTTTGTGGCCAGCAAAGAGTTCAGCAGGTCCAGTCTGTGAATCCGGAACAGCAGCTCCTTCAGGAATGACAGATTGCCCTCCTCCAACATTTTCTTCTCCTGGAGCCTTTGGAAGAACATCAGGGTATCCTGGATGGGTTCCAGCTTTCTTTGTGGGATATGATCCAGGCTCAGGAACTTTAGAGATGCCAGCTCATAACTGTCCAGTTGATCCCTAATTTTGTAAAGACAGCTGGATAAATCCATGCTTGTCAGGAGGTAGAAGAATGTAGCTGCAACCTAGGTGAAAACAGAAGGCTGAGGTTGGTACTTTCAAGACTAAAATGCTACCTGCAGCACCAGCATCCCATGTCAGAGTCCCAATTAGTCCTAGCTGCTCTGCCTCTGATACAGCTCCCTGCTAATGTGCCTGGGGATCCCCAGATGGCTCAAGTACTTGAGCCCCTGACACCCACATGGGAGACCCAGATGGAGCTCCAGGCTCCAGCTTCAGCCTGTCCTAATCCTGGCTCCTGTGGACGCTTGGGAAATGATCCAGTGTATACAAAACTCTCTCACACACACTTCTGTTCTATGACTCTGACTCTCAAAAAAGCAAAATCTTAAATAAATAGGAAGCCATGTACAGGTGAGGAAGAAAAGTACCAATTACTAGTTTGTTCCTTCAACAAGTACTATCGTATCTGCCATTCATTTTGCTGTGGACTCAGGGAAGGAAAACAACAACCAACAACAAAACAGGACATGCATCTTCTCTCAGACAGCTTGCTGTTTGGGAGGTGGTTACACCAGCAGCCAGTGGTCAGAGAGCTATGATGGAAGCAGGGCCAAGTAGGGGCACAGAGGAAGGAGATGGGTAGAACCGATCCTGGGAGAGGGGCTTCCTGAGATCTTGCTCCCAAGAATCAGCTCCTACCAAAGATGGAAGCATGAACTGTAAAGGTAGTTCAGGCAGGCAGGAGCAGCTCCCTACCCTCAGGGCAGCCGGGATGGAGAGTGATGCTGCAAAGGGTGCCAGGACCCATGTCCCATAGGGATTCATGCCACAGCACAAGGCTCAGACTATGTCCTGGAGGTGATGGTGAACTAAAAAGGACTGTGAGAAGGCGAATGATGTCACTGAATGTGGGATAAACATGTAAAGCATAAAGTGTCGAGGACAGGTTGGAGGAGTTGGAGGCACTGTTAGGAGGATGCATTTATTGATGGTGGGCAGGAATAGTGGTGTCTGGAACAAGGGTGCTGGGGGATGGGGTGGTACATCTCTGTCCCCCATGAGGTCTTAGGACCAGTTCCTACAGCTGACCAGAGACCTAACCTGAAGTAGAACCAAGTCAACCTGGAGGACCCGTTTAAACTCAAGCAGTCCAGATTAGGTTATGTGGCATTTCCCATAGTACCTCAATTAAGGAGAGAGGCCAGCATTTAAGGACACTGCAAACAATCTCATGGCAGCCAAGCGGCTCATACCTTGATCAATTTCTCCCTGGTTTACTGGGAGACAGACTTCTGACCATGACCAAAGGAGCTGAGGGAGCAGTGTGTATGTACCGGGTCCTTTGAAGGAGCCAGACCCGGTAAGCCATGCCATGCCATGTGACTCAACAGAGCTCCCTGATGTAGGCAACGGCATCGCTGGGACAGCTGAGCAGGGCTCACTGGAAGGGAGGCAGGCAGCATGATGGCGATGAGCCTGGACTCAACCTCAGATTAAATCCTGCCCATGGCACTGTCTGTCAAGACCTAGCCAGCTCCCATCCTCCAAGGATCAGGACAATAGGGACGAGAAGAGTGCCATCTGCAACACTTGCTGTGAGTTCATGAATGACAGCTATAGAGCATGGTGCATAATGAGCAATGACTGAGGAATGTCGTCATGCTAACCTACATAAGGAAGAAAGCCACATAGAGCTGGCATGATGGCTCAATTGACTAATCCTCCACCTGCAAGTACTAGCATACCTTCATGTTCCAGTGCTCCACTTCTCATCCAACTCCCTGCTTGTGGCCTGGGAAAGCAATGAAGAATGGCACAAAACTGGAGGAGACTCCAGGCCCCAGGTTCCTGGCTTTAAATTGGCTCAGCTCTGGCCATTTGGGGCATAAACCAACAGATGGAAGATCTTTGGCTTTCTATCTCTTCTTCCCTTTGTAATTTTTCAATAAAAATTTTAAAATCTTGAAAAAAGAAAGCCCCTGACTACAGGCTTCTGACACAGAACATGGGACCTTAAGCCATCCTCGCACTTTCCCAGCTTGTCCAGGATCTCCAGGCAGATGGTTCTCAGACTTCTCCAAGTTGGAAAGCTCTTGGTTGAAGGCTTATGCAGAAAGTAGTGTGCTCTTAAGAGGTGATTCTGGGCAGGAACTGCTTAAGAACTGTGAACCATAAAACCATTTGAGAGCCTTCAAGCTCCCTTCCAACTCCATCCAGCTGTTTCCTCAGGTTCTTTCCTGAACCTTCAGTACCTTAAACTGCAGCCCATTATGAATGAAGACAAAACAAACATCAGCCTTGTCATTTAGAGGCAGTGAACAAGTCAATTGTAACTAATGACCTCGTCAGGACCAGGCCAAAGCCAGGAGCCAGAGACTCTAGCTTTATCTGCTACGTGGGTGGCAGGAACCCAAGCACTGGGGGCGATGCATTGCCGTGTTCTAAGATGCATTAGCAGTGGAGCAGCTGGACTCAAACTTGCACTCCAATATGGGATGCCAGCATCAAAAGCAGTGGCTTTAGCCTCTGGGCCACAATACTGGCATTGTATAAACCCGTGGGGAAGATGGCCAAGCCATGCTTCAAACCAGTGCTATTTGTGTGCCTGAGGAATATTCACTGGTGATCATTGCAAAAGCAGTTTTCAGAAAACTTACAACTGATCAAAACGTTTCTGACAACTGGAGGATAGACACTGTCACAATGGTCACTGAAGAGATCGGAAACTCCCTGAGTATCTGGGCAGTATTACACAAAGAGGTACTCCTGTGCTCAGGAGCCACCTGGCCCCACAGGTTACTGAAGTAGACAGCCATGTTTGATTATGCACTGTGTATGGATGACAGCAATCTGAGAGATCTGAATAGAAACAGTAAATACATTTTTAAAAAACCTGCAAAGCTAAAATTGAGCTACTTGGAAGCCACGATCCACAAGAATAATTCATATGTGAAGAAGATCCCTATAACGGAAAGGACACAGCCTTCAAGAGGCTGTATCAGCAATGTGTGCAGTGCTCCGGGGCCTTCCTAGAGACAGCCCCCCAGGGCTGGGCAGGCCCCATGGGCCACAGTGTGTAGCAATGCTGGGATGTTCCCCCGGCCTCACTTCTGCCTTCTGTTGACCATTTATCTTCAAGAATCATTGTTACTGGAAACTGGCTGTATATGCAGAAGTATAAATCAAAACCTTACACTGCTTTGATCTAGTTGAACCTCCACTCTGCCCCATTTACAAAAACAGGGGCACAAACACCACAGAACAACAGATCAAATGGAGTGGCAAAGCATGGCCCAGTGCCCCTGGTCAGTGTGGGAGTCAGTCTGCACATAGCGATGGGTGCAGGAGGTGCAGACCGCCTGCTCCACAGGCCCTGGTGGAACTGCCCTGGGCGAAATTCTCTCCTTCTCACACCCAGTAGACAGGTGCATGCTGGGAAGTCAAGCAAGAGAGGTGGGTCTCTGGGATCAGCACTTTTCCTGCTTCTCTGCTTATTTCTTGAGGAGGTCGGCTTATTTCTTCACACCTGAACCAATTTATTTCTGGAATGTCATTATATCTAGAAAAGAGTGCCTGAATGCTGGCTTCTTTTATGGCCAACTGAAAAAAAGCATCTGTGTTTGTGTGCACGACACACATCTTGCACATAACTTTGATTTTTTTTTTAATTGAAGGATGGAAATTATGAAGAAAAACTTCATCTCTCCTTTTTGAATGAGAGCTTATATTATTGCTTAGACAAGTTTTCTAGATTTAGGATTCTGATGGGGCTAATGTCCTAGAAGCATATACTCTGTATTAGGTTTATGGGAGTAGATATTAAACTGCAAAGGCAATTATTTGTAACAAAAATATTTTAATTTAGGAACGATATTTTAAATATCTGACTAGCAATTAATGGCACATGCTCAAATGACAATAACAAGAAGAGCAGCAACAACCATTGTTGTGGCTACAAAGGAACAAACTAGTAAATCCCTTTTTAAAAATACACTTTTTGAGCTTCTGCACTGCAAGGGAATTTGAAAGGTGAAGAAGCAACCAATAGAATGGAAGAAAATCTGCACATTATATTCAGGATCTGGAAAAAGCTCAAGACATTCAATAATAAAAAGAAAAACAAAAACAAATGACCCACTGAAGAAATAGGACAAGAGCAGGTAATTTTCAGAGAATGAAGTACAAACGGGCAACATATACATGAAAATATGCCCAGGATCAATAGCCATTGGGAAATGCAAGACGACAACACCACAATGAAGCTTCCCCTTATCTCAATTAGAGTGGCTATCATACAGAAATTAAAAATAATAATAAGTGCTGGTGGGGAAGTGGGGGAAAGGTATCCTAACACATTGCAGGTAGTAACGTAGGGCCCGGCGCGGTGGTGCAAGTGGTTAAGGTCCTCACCTTGCACGCCCGGGATCCCATATGGGCGCCGGTTCTAATCCCGGCAGCCCCGCTTCCCTTCCAGCTCCCTGCCTGTGGCCCAGGAAGGCAGTCGAGGACGGCCCAAATTTGGGACCCTGCACTCGCGTGGGAGACCCAGAAGAGGCTCCTGACTTCGGATCGGCATAGTATCGGCCCTTGCACTCACTTGGGGAGTGAATCATCGGATGGAAGATCTTCCTCTCTGTCTCTCCTCTCTGTATATTCGCCTTTCCAATAAAAACATAAAAAAAAAAAAAAAAAAAAAAGGTGGTAACGTAACCTAGTGCCACCATTATGGAAGACAGTATGGAGATTCTTCAGAGATGTGATAATAGATCTACCATATGACCCAGCCACTCCACTCCTGGGAATTTACCCAAACAAAATGAAATCAGCATATGAGAGTAATCCGGACTCCCATGTTTATAGCAGCTCGATTCACAATAGTCAAAATTTAGAATCACCCTAGATCTTTATTGATTGATGCCTAGACAAAGAAAATGTGGTGTATGTACACCATGAAAAGATACTCAACCAGGAATAGGTGAAATCTTACTTTTTGCAACAAAATGAATGCAGCTGGAGAAACTGCTATGATTAGCCAGTCCAAAAAGACAAATATCACATTTTCTCTGATATGAGAGAGTTAATTTAGAACAGCAAAAAAAAAAAAAGGTGTAGGAATGAAATGGTCACTTCAGAATAGGGTTGTCATTTTTAGCCCATGTTTATATTCCAGTGGAAAAAGTGGACTTGTGGCCTTCTTACATTTTATTTGTTGGATATTATAATTAGTATTAAGCCTGTGAATATAGAGTGGACTAAAATTATGTCTACTCAAATACTACTGAAGAGATGGAGGAAGGATGGGTGTGGTGAGACGCACAGCAGAGTGAGGGACGTACAATTGTCTTCTTGGAACCATAACTATAGAATACATAAAGTCTATTCTTGTTATATTAGTTAAAATTGTTCTAAAAAAGAAGACACTGATGGGCACCTATGGAAAAACACAGCTGTGCTCAACAGGGCACGTGGGTGGAGTCTCACCCAACACAGCACTTTGTGTGACCTCAGACAACTAGAAGCAACCAAATTCCCCATGCTGGAGGCATGCAGCACGGCAGAGGCAGGCTTCAGACTCATTTGCAGTTCCATCTGCAGAAACCAAAGTTGACAGACATCTAATACTGCAGAACAAAGTGAGAAAACCAAGTCGCAACAAAACGAAAGGCCCTGTCATCTGCCATTTCATAACAGTTACAGCAGAGTCATCCATTTTCAGAAAATGTAGACATCTAGGTCAAAGCAGGGACGAAAGTAACGGGAAGATTCTAGAAAGAAATACACCAAACTTAAAAACCTCTCTGGGGAATGAAGAGACGGAATTCACACACCCATGTATTCTCTATGTAAGTTATTGACACAAATTATGCAAGAGTTCTTCTGTCTAAGGCCAAGTGAGAAAGTGAGTGTGTCGGCCGTAATCAGAGCTCAAGCGGGAGGACAGGCCATGGCACTTCCTCCCACCCCACTGTGCGAAAAGTGAGCAACCATACATGTGTTCTTGAGAGAAAAAAAGTATTGGAATCCAAACTTGAAAATAATAACTTCACAGAGGGAGGGGTTACCGGCATTGTGGCCAGGAGCTTAAGACATGGCTTGGCCTGTGAAGCCAGGTTTGAATTTTGGCTGCTCTGTTTGTGATCCCCCTCCCTGCTAATGTGCCCAGCAAGAAGCCAGCCTCGATGCCTGGGCTCCTTCTGCCCGTGTGGGAGATGAGGCCACAGCTCCCAGCTCCTGCCCTCAGCAGGATCCTGACCAAGGGAATGAATCAGGTAGTAGATGATGTCTCTCTCCCCTCACTCTTCTTCACTCTGCCTTGCAAATACACAATTGACAAAAGAGAGAGAATAGTAAAACTTGTTTTTTCAAAAAAAGTTACAGAAACTTTTACATATCTCTTTTAGAAATAAACAGCATCTAGTGAACTGAATAGGAGAATGGAGGAAGGTTTGAAGAACACCCCGACAATCCGTGACAGGCATGGACTCTCAGTAGAAAACAGGCATTCTTTAACACATATGTACACATATGACCTATATGTAAAAATTGACCACAAAAAAGTAATAGATTTTCAAAAAGCTCACACTTAAAAAAAAAAAGACAGTTCATATTCGACTGCTGTGAAATTAAAATAGAAGTTAATAAAAAAGACTAAGTTAACCAAAATCGGCCAAACCAAATACAACACAAAATGGAATGTCATTATGACTGAGGTGATTTGTTCAACCTGGATGTGAAAACCACCAGGCAAACTTCTTAGAACCAATAGGAACAAATTTAAATTGAACTCTTCACATTAAAATACTGTGTAGGAGGGCTAGAGATGTAGGCCTTAAAGTTCTAAGGAAAAAAATAGAATTAGTAAAGAACTTCTCTAAGTACTCTTAAAACAGAAAATCCAAAAGTCATTAAAGAAATAATTAGTACATGTTCTTAAACAGTAACTATAACATGAAGGGTCTTTTAAAAGTTCAGGGAAAATGCACATTATGAAAAATATATATAATTTTTCAATATCTTCTGTGCCAAAAAAACCTTACCTTTTAATTTAATTTTTTGTGTACTTTTTAAAAAGTACACCTGTATTCTTCAAAAAATAACCCAAACAAAAATTTTAAAGATAGAGATTTTTGTACAGGGGAAAATCAGAAACATCTAGGATTTTTAAGATAGAGGGCTAACTTTCTTAAAGTAGGGTTCTCCTTTCTGTTTTAAAAAAAAGATCAGCAAGAATCTCAAGAAGACAGTTTAGAGGAAAGTACCACTGGTTTTACATTTCAAATATTAGACAAGATGTCCAACTTCACTTACAAGGGAAAAAAGGAATATGGAAAGTTTAATAAAAGATGACTTTTCAACAACATCCTATTAGCAAAATATAAAAATTGCAGCACACACAGGGTTGTAAGATGGTGCAAATAGAAACAGACATATGAGTAAGTCAGGCATATTTGCCAAAATATAAAATGTACATACACTTGGACCTGGCAATTTGACTTCCGGAATCTTTTCCAGAAGCTTATTTAAACAAATATGTTCTCAAAAATATGTAAAAGCTACTTGTGGCAGCATTGCTTGAAATTACAAAAAACAAACAAACAAAAAAAAACCGGAAACTATGAGTCAGAATAAGCTGGTGATTGTATTTTAAACATCTCTCTCAAGCTAACAGAAATAATGAGAAGATCCACATGGTTGACCCTGTGTGGTCTGTATTAATTGTGCTTATTTGTTTATTCACAAACGAACTCTGATAAAAACACGCAGGAAGCTGCTTTAGTGGTGTCTCCAGAGAGCAAACCGTCCCCCACGTGCGTATGTGGGGAGGTCTGGGTGAAGGGGAAAGTGAGACTTGATTTTTTTTTTTTTGCACTCTTTGCATAGTTTGAATCCTTGCCTTGTGTATCTGTTACTTACTCTAACTGTGCCTAGACTTCGATGAAAATCTCTGAAGATTTCTTTTCATTCACGTGCTGACAAGACTCTAAACCTGTTCCAGCTCTATGTAGCTGCCTAAAATTGACAAGCCTCCAAATTGTGAATCAGTTTTACCCACTGTTAAAAACTTGCTTTACAGGAAAAAAAAAAAAATCCACCAAAGAATCAAATGAAAGCAGCATCTCCTTTTTACCCACATTTTTTTTTCTGGTGACAACAGTTCTTGTTGTACTTGTTTTAGAAAACATCCAAAAGAAAATAAAAAGTATCTATTACTCCACCATCCAAAGTAAGCATCTAAGTATAACTCACTGTTTACATACTAAGTAGTCTATGTGTTTCTATTTTCCATTATATTCAAACGTATCATTCTTTTGTAGTTCAAGTGATTTTTTCCACTAATCATATTTTAAGTATCTTTTGGTATCTTTACTTTTTCTTCTACAACACTTTATTATTTGTAAAGCACTTAACCATGTAGCTTGTTCAAGGATCTATATAATCAATCCCTTATGACATTGAAGATGATGTTAAAATGCAAATTTTACTGTATGTCTCTGATTATTTCCTTAAAGTAATTTCCTAGAAGTTGCATTTCTGCTCAAAAGGAATAAGCAGGTGTCCCAAGTAATGACTAACCGCTATGCCAAATGTCTGCCCTCCCAAATATTCTTCTCATTTTATTACAAGCAGCCAAAGAAACTGTCATTATTATCCCCGTGTTACCATTGTGGAAATTCTGCAGAAATTGACTAGCTAGTAAGACAAGGATCCAGCTCAGACTATTTTTAAATATTTCATTGAGGGACTACAGCAGCAAATGCTATAAAGATTTAGACCTTTGTCTAAGTATAGCTAAACAGTCAGTAACAGAATCCCAACATTACAGACGAGAATTACAAAGAGTCGTAATGCACAAAATCAATACATAAAACCACAAAACAGAAGTTCTTAACAAATGCATTGCAATAAAAGCACAGAGTGTAAGCAAATGCTGGTGTATGGATGAAATCCTGGCCATCTCATTACAGTGCTCTGCTTTGTAAACACAATTCAACTGCAATGAAGCCCCTCCCAGGCACAGCCAATCATGGCGACGGGATCTGGCAGCATCCTAGCTCCTCCAGTATATGAACACAGACTCAAAGATGGAGATGGAGAGAGACCCAAAACAAAATTTATTTTCATCATGAAAGGTCTCCAAAATGTCACGAACATTTGTATGATAAGAAACTGGGCACAGATTTCAGAAATCTTTTGTACCAAAATAAACTCATTTTTTTATTTCACTTTCCGCAAATTCCTTGAATTACCCTCATCTCTGAAAGCCACACTCACGTCCAAACTCTTAATCTATAAAACTGTTGCTCTGCCCAGTCCAGGCTGCCTACAGATAGGTAGACTCTTATTGGAACCTTCTCGATGCCAATTCTATATATGAATAAACACATTTCACAGCAGAGCCCTGCAGCCAACAAGGATGCACGCAAATCAGCCAGGTGGTCAAATCTCAACCAAACTGGTAACCAATCCTCTAATTTTCAAAATGAATGAACTTAAAAAGTTCACCAAAAAGCGCTTCTCCTGGTGAGCATGGAGCTCTGATTTCTCCGACCGTGCTTCCTATTGTGTCGTCCTCTGGTGTCTGCCATTTTTATTTTGATTGACTAAGATTGTATGGGTGTATGGGTGTGTGTGTTTATGTCGGTTGATATGTGTGTGTGTGTGATGGCAGCTGCCAGGGGATTTCCATTTTGCCTTCTAGTTGGAAGCAGGCTGCACTCAGGAAAGGCTGAGGCCTTGGGCATGATAACTGTAGGTGAGGCATGTCAGTAATGGCCACGATTGCACGGATCCATGCTGGAAAAGGTCCCTGCTGTCCTCTCCTCACACAACAAGGGCCTGTACCGGATCCCACCATCGGGCAGTCTACAAAACTCACATCAGAGGCCACCCGCCCCACAGGCCCAGTTGAGCTTACCAGATCCGAGTCCTGGGACCCTCACGACAGCAGCACCTTGCTTGCTGACTTCTTCTGCCCCCCGCAGTCGTGCTCTCAAGAGCAAAATTTCAAATGAAGACACGAAGGGTACGGCCTGCTGTACTTCCTGTTTCTTAAAGCCCTGAGTCACAGGCGCAAGAGCAACGGAAGGAAGAAAGGCCCACCTCCTAGTGCAGCAGCAGAAGTGTCTCCAAGAGCTGCCTGAAAACTGGGGTTGCAGGAAGGTGTGGCTGAGCTCCGGGGAGGGATCAGGGCACCTTTTTTTAAAGTGCCTTCAGATGAGTCACTGTGCCTTTGGGGCCTGTCTTTCCTAGCTTAGAAAGTTAGATTGGATGATAGCTTTCTACTCAACAGCCCAAGAGTTGAAAGATCTTTCTGGGTTCACCATGTAAGATTTCAGTGTTTGCCTCCGACAGACACTGGCTGAGCCCCTCTGAGAGGCCTTGCTACATGCTGGGCCCTCTTCAGGGCTGCTGGCTCCCACAGTAAACAACTCTCCTTGTTTACCTATGAGGCCTTGTGTGGCCTCTGTGACCCAGGTACCACCTACCCTCAGTAGCCCCAGAAAGCTCTGAAATCAGAGGCCTTCCCCTTAACAAGCCAATCCAGTCTCACCCAACATGCAAATCCTGAGGTGGTGGCTGTGCAGGTCTTGAAACAATAACAGTGAACAAAGCACCCATGAAACCATGCCTGTATGCTACAAGTTATATTGTTTTCTGAGTAAAAGACAACCCAGCACTTCTCTTCTTTGAAACTGTCTTCCTGCTCTCCCCATATGGAAGGTAAGATTACAGACGGCAGGGGCCAGTCTTACACCTGAGTGCACCGAATGAGGCGTCTGTAAGTGCCTGGTCAACAGCACAGGCCCAGGTACAGGTTGAACTTGCAGCATCTGTGCTCTCAGCTGACCTCTGATTCTGCCTGGTAGTGTCCCAGCAAGAATACCAGGACAGAGTGAAGAGCTGGTAGTGGCTACATAATGCCCCCAGAAGACCTCTCAGCTACTTCCATGCTTCACCCCCACATGGTGCTCTTGGTTTGTGACTCTGGCCTGTCCTAGGCTGTGGCCATGTTGAGGGCATGTGTCTTTCTGCATGCCCAGGACCCGTCAGAAGAGCAGTAGCATCCACCGCACACAATAGTTGTCTCCAACCAAGAGGAAAAAGGAATGCTGTAGACAGATGATGGCCTTGAACCTGGAATTCCCTAACAAAGTGACTCAAGTAGTTGCAAGAAGAGGCTGAATTGCATCAGGACCCTGGCATAGGCAAGCTAAAGCAACAGCAAACCTTCTCAAGTGGCAATTATCTCAAGCCAGGGATCAGTCACGAAGTAGAGCCATAAAGCCTCCTGAAAGCAAGCTGGCCACTTTATAAAAATACTGGAAAAAATCCCATCTTCCATGGTTTCCCCAGATTCCACAACCAGGTCTATACACCTGCTGAGTCTTTGTGTCATCCTCAGATAGAATTTGTATGCACTGCACATCCTGTAATACCAGGTAACGGGTAGGAACACCACTTGCCCAAATAGATGGAACTTAAAAGCAACAGCTTGTTTTTTAAAATAATTTTTAAAAAGAGGAGCAAAGAGTGGAAGCTGGCATTGCGACTTGCCAAGTAGAGCCACCACCAGTATTCTGTTCTGACACTGGTTCAGATCCCAGCTGCACCATTTCCAATCCAGCTCCCTACAAATGCACCCGAGAAAAGCAGCAGCAGATGGCCCACGTGTCTGGGACCCTGCACTCACATAGGAAGACCTGGAGGAAGCTCCTGGCTCCCGGGTTCAACCTAGTCTAGCTCTAGCCTAGCTGCTGCAACTATTTGCGAAGTGAACCAGTTGATGGAAGATCTCTCTGTCTGGAGATTTCACTCTCTCTGTAACTCTGCCTTTCAAATAAATGAATAAATCTTTACAAAGAAATAAAAAATGTTGTAAAAAGCAAGAAACAGAAACAGCAAACTAGAAATTTTGTGACTGTGATAAAAATAGCTGCCATTTCCTTAGTACTTAGCCTCACGCTGTGTGAAGGCTACACACACATCACCACCTTCGATCTTTAATCTTGCTTTCCAGGTATTATTAATGCCACTAAATGATGAGAACACAGAGAAATGATTCACTTGCCAAAGGTCACAGAACTTAGAGATACTGCACTCCAAAAAGTACATTTAGCCAGGATGCACATATTGTCACAAGCATAAATCAGAAGCATTAGGAAACAAACCTCAGAGGCTGCGAGAGGGGAGGAGCTGAGCTGGGGAGACGAAAGAGCTGGAGAGGCCGGGGAGACGAAGAGAAGTAAGAAATGCTGAGCTAATTCTTTGTGACAACAACAAAGCAAACAGACACAACACAGGAATCGAGTTTTCTGCAATCCCCAATCAGGTCATGTGCCCAGGAGACCTGGACAATTGTAGGAGCCTAGGGGCAGGACAGATGTGTGGCAGGCTGAAAAGCCACAAGGAAGCAGGGGCCAGGGTGTCTAGATGAGATCAGAGCCTGGCAGGACATGGAGGGATCCCCAGTTGGACAGGTCCCAACTGCCTCCCCAAGAGGGATGGGGAGAGGAACCCACGAGGAGGGGTCCCAGGTTGGCGGAGAGAGGGACAGTTTGGTGGCCTTGCCCTTCTTTGTGGCCCGGGCCAGCTCTTGCCGCATGGCACTCACCTGCTTCACCTTTTCCAGGCACTGTCACCCAATCCCCTAAACAGCCTGACTGCACATGCTCAGATGCCCAGGATTTCTCCAGGCTAGAGAAAAGTCCAGAAGCCAGGCGTTGGGGGGCCTAGGAGGAAGGAGAGCCTTCTGGGAAGCAGCTTGCTTTTGCTTTCCACTACTCACAGCCCGGCTTGAACAGCCTCCTTCCGTGGACTCTCATTTCCTGTTTCTCTACACACCACGCTCAGAACATGGGAGCAAAGTCAGCGGGGCTTTACAAAAATCACCAGAGGCTGGGGGGAGTGGGGGGAGGAAAGAAAAAAGAGTGAGGGAGCCCAAGAGCACGTTTCCCTCTTGCAGCCAGGCAGATATGGTGTTCAGTGAGAAAGAGAAAAATCCTCAACAGAAAAAAATCAAAGAGGAACTTCTCCCCTTACAAGAGGAAAAATGAGGTGTTTAACCTTTAAAGAGACAGATGCCCACGTTCCTGCCACCCAGGAGAGACCGTTGGGCTGCGTGCAATCGGGAACCAAGGGATGGGCTTTACTGGAAAGCCAATTCCACTAAGTGTGAGTAACCTGTAGCAAGTCAGATGCCCCGTCTTCCCTTACAGGGGGTTCTAGGGACAGGAGTTTTCCCCCTGGGGTGAGCTCCAGCCTCACACAGAGGCCCGGATCCTATCTGAGGGGCTCTTCTTAGGGCTAAGCTGGCCTGCGGCTGAACCGCTGGGAAATTGTGAAAATGAAAGGGGAAGGGACTCTGGCTGAGCCGGAGCAGTAGGTGAGTCCTGGTCCCCAGCTGCATTCTTGGGCTTGGTAGTAAGCAGTGTCTCATCCACAACCTCCAGGGACTTGGTCCACCCCGCCGAGCCCAAGCCACCGCCTCAGCACTTTCGATCTCTGTTCCCTAGTTGAATTTTTTCAGGGTATTTTACCCCATTGGTTTTTCACATCTGATACATTTTATAACCAAAACGCTACTAACAATACAATAACAACACGATTCACTTTTACAGGAACTGACTCTAATTCTCTCTCTTTGTTCTCCCATGCTATGGGTCAGAAAATAGAGGCTCAAATAATCACATGGATACAAATTCAGCCCTCGGCAGGGCCAAAGACAAGGACTTTCTCCATCATAGCATACTAGCTCAAATCTTACATATTAGAAGAATCTCCAAAAACATAGAATTTGAGGTGATCCATTAGGGCACTAAGATGGAGTAACCTCTGCAGAGACATTCAAAGAATCCTGGCTTCTTAGTAACCCATGTGAACAGAGATGGCTTAAAGCAACACGAGCCAACACTGCTAAAATCATTCATCTACTCCAGACACACTCACTTGCACTGGATCACTCCACCTTCTGGGCAGTTCTCAGAATCAGACACGACTCTCGATCCCATTTTGTTGATGAGGAAATGGAGAGGCTTGGAGAGATTGAAAGACTTAGCCAAACTCATCTGGCTAATGAGTGACAGAATGTTTCCTTATGATACCTTGAGGGTTAATCATTGCCTAATCATTAATGCACAACTAGAAATCTCTACCCAACCTGCCTTGGAATTAACTGGGAGGCTGTGAGGACATTGGCCTTCAGCTCCAGCTTTAGAATGCCTGCCATAGCACAGCTGGAGGGGACCAGGCAGGTCACCCTGTATCCAGGCTACTCTCCATACACATTCACTGCCCTCTGAATGGCCACCTGAGCTCACAATGTCTGTAAGATGACTAAGACAAGGTGGCTCTGTGCAGATGGGGAAGCTCGATGCCCAGCAGCTGATGCATGGCCAAACCAGTGCGTGAACTCAGGAGGGACTCACCCAACAGTTTGCACACTTGACTCCCATGCATATCCTCCTGCCTGTACCCAGACCCTGACTGGCAGACAGGAGATGAGTAACAGACATCCAGGGCTCAGGGACAGGATGAGATCATCCTCAAGGCTCTGACTTGAAGGAGAAGGAGGAGTCATAGGTCCTCCCACTCTTACATCTTAATATACATATGAAGATATATATCAATAATGATCAATATATCAATATATTGATAGATATCAATAATTAACAAGTGAATCCCTAACCAGAGGTGTTGCCATACATGGGGTGGGGGTGGGGGGGAAGATTGGTTCATACCCAGTGCAGGAAGAGCCTGCAAAACCCTCTGTGGCCACACCCTTGGGTCTCTCACTTCCCTGAGACTGAAGCCCCAGTCAACTAAGTGGCTAAAAGCAGATTTGCACTGGTAAATCTCCCTGACAAAGTTACAAAGGTCTAAACTTCATCTCCACTCACTGTGGCATACCCTTCCCATCCTTCTAGATTGGAACTGTAGCTCACCATTCGAAGATGCTGCATACTGACAGCAAAACAAAAATCCCCCACATGGATGCATTCTTGTGTCTGCCACTTCTTTGCTGGGCAGCAGTGAACTAACCCCGTGGGCCAAGGTGCTCTAGTCTGCCGCTTCACCCGTGTCCCTCCTGGGCTGTCCTTGACTCCTCCAGCAGCTGTTCCTGTCTACTGCCTTAGGCTCTTTGTCCAAAAGTGGGACAGGAAAAGATTACATTCCAATCAAACCACTGTAGCTATTCCTGGGATTTGTCATGAGAGGCTCAAAGAGTTATCTGAGACAATCACTCCTTTTTGTGTGTGTGTGTTGAAATGACCACATAGTCATGGCCATTAGAAGGAGCTGATAACCACGGACTTCAAAGTCTTTACTTTCCGGCTTGGTGACTGTCAACCCCCTCCCCCGCTTCACATTCTCAAGAGAAACTACCACAGATAAGATTTCACATCACTGACATAGGGAGGAAGAAATAGATCATTGTCAGGGATGACTCCAATATTCATGTTGCTGCCTGAGATTTTCCAGAAATTTCTTGAAGACCTGAGCCAGAAGAGGTGAAAGTCTTCAGTGATTTTTCTTCTTTGTGCCTATTCTCAAGACATAGGATACCTCAAACCCTAGGGACAAATGTCTGGACTTGGCTGTTTTAGCTTGCTTTTGTTTGTTTGTTTGTTTTTAATGTGGTAAAATGTAGGACAGGTGCTGTAGCACATCAGCTTAAGCTGCTACTGCAGCATTTATATCTCATATGAGCACCGGTTCCAGTTCCAGTTGCTCTACTTCCTAACCAGCTCCCTGGTAATTATGCCTGGGAAAGTGCCAGAAGATGACCCAAGTCACTACTCCCCTGTTCTATGAAGGAAACCAAGGTGAAGCTCCCAGTTTCTAGCTTCAGCCTGACCAAGCCATGGCTGCTGCAGCCATTTTGATGAGTGAACCAACAGATACAAGGTCTCTCTCTCTCTCTCTGCCTCTCCTTCTGTTTCTCTCTGTTTTACAGATAAATAAATAAGTAAATCTTTTTAAAATGTAGTAAAATATACATAATATAAAAATTTCCATTTTAGTCCTTTTATATGTAAAGATTAGTGACACTGGATATACGTCTACTGTTATTTCATCATTACATCACCCCAAAATCATAATTGATGCTGTTAAGAAAATGTCTTCATTAAGCACCATACAGTCTGAAAATGTTTCCCCATTTTTGCTTTATTTGATCCCCCCTGGTCTCATTGCTCCCTTTGGCCCCCACGTCTTTTGGTTTAAAGCAGATAGGACAGAGGACATTGAGACACTGAGGAAACTAAAGCTCAGAAAGATACAGTGACTCAGCTGATAACAGTGGCACAGCTGCTATACCTACATACAGCACTAGTAATTAATTTTTTAAAAGTTGGAAAATGGAGGGATTATTCACTGTAATAGGTGTTCGCCCCACTTTTATAGTTTTATTAATTTGCTCAAGTATTTGGTAGGCAGAATGACAGAGAAAGAAAGAGGAAGGGACAAAGAAAGAGACAAAAACAAATACCCTTCATTTGTTGGTCTACCACCTAAAAGGCCACATCAGCCAGATAGGATAAGGCTGACACCAGAATCCAGGAACTTCATGTTCCACTTGGGGGACAAGGATCCAAGTGCTTGGGCCATATTCCATTGTCATTCCAGATGCATTAACAGAGGGCTGGATCTCAAGCTGAACAGCTGGACTCACATACCCAGCATGTGCATATGCAACGCCAATGTCAACAAGCAGTGGCTTCACTTACTATGCCACAAAGCCAAACTCTCTCTTTCAAATATTTATTTATTTTTATTGGAAAGTCAGATTTATAGAGAGAAGGAAATGCAGAGGGAAAGAGCTTCCATCTGCTGATTCACTCCCCAAGTAGGCGCAATGGCCAGAGCTGAACTGATCCAAGGTCAGGAGCCAGGAATTTCCTCCAGGTCTTCCATGCAGGTGCAGGGTCCCAAGGCTTTGGGCCATTCTCAACTGCTTTCCCAGGCCACAAGCAGAGAGCTGGAAAGGAAGCGGGCCTGCCAGGACATGAAGCAGTGCCCATATAAGGATCCCAGCACATGCAAGGTGTGAACTTCAGCCGCTAGGCTACCGTGCCAGGCCCCAGTCATTCTTCACTTCCTGTAAAACTGAAAATATTTCTTAATACGATTTGGTGGTTAATAACACACCCACTCTCAGCAGCAGAGTGGCATGCACTCAGCCTCTTCTGATCCAGAAGTTCTCAGCTATGATAACCAAACCCTTCCCCTAGGGGAACAGACACAAAAAGTATAATTAGTGAATTTTTTAGTTTGTACAAATGACTTGTAGATGTGTGTAAGCATGTGTGTGGGTGTATTCAGCTCTCTGTGAAGAACTTGTACATTGGGACTTAAGAACTACCTTTGTCTCTTAGTGACTGCAGAGAATCTCTGGGTTGGAGTCTTGCACTGCTTGGGAACATGTGCCTGATAGTTCAAGTTTCTGGCAGATAAGCAGGAGGCACCTCAGAACAGCAGTGCGGAAGCGTGAAAAAGCCACGTGAGCACCAAGGCTGTGACCATCTGATTCACTCAAGCAGTGGCCATGGCTCCATGAGCAGAAGGGCTGGCTATTAAGAAAGGCTGTCTGGCTCCTCAGCCACTGAGGTCAGATATGTGAGTTCTTCAAGTCAGGCTTCTATCTCTAGACTCTCCAGAAAGAGATAACATCAGAGTTCTAATCATGCTCATTCCAAGTAACATTTCAGAGATGTCAATTAAATCAATATTCATTCACTATTAAACTTGGGTTAAATCCTTGTGGTCACTGATTTTTTTTATATAGAATAAAAACTTCAGGAGAATCAAGATGGCGGAATAGGGTAAGGACACGTTTAAACAGACCGAGAAGCATTTAACCAGAATGAAGCAGAGAGGACATATTTCAGGAAATACGAAAGGACAGAACAACAGCAAAGGGGTACCTGGAGACTGACAGACACAGGAAAGCAGCGGGCACAGCCGTGTGGTGTTGCAGTGAATGATCTAAACTCCACCAGCAACCGAACTCCACCAGCAACCAGGTTGAAAGGGACTTTGACTGGGAGCTTGGGAGGTGAACCCAGAAGGGGAACTGTCTGCCCTGCTGGTCCATTTGATTTGACCAGGAGCAGAGACAGAGCAGCAGGTCCCAGGCGGGCAGTGTGAGAACAGCAAGGATTTCATAGCCCAGTCAGCCCCCTAGAGCTGAATTGGGCGCCATTTTGCCTAAGGAGGAAAGGGCAAGGGAAAGGACTGAGCATGCTCTGAGAGGGAGTGTGCTCATTTCTGACTAGGTGAACTGCAACAACGAGGCATTCTATGGGTTCCATCCAGGGCAGGTCTGGGTAACCCTCGGATCTGTCAGCCAGCAGATCAAGAACTGTTGTGGTAGCACGTTGGGCGCCATTTTGTACACTGTGGCAAAAGCTTTGGGGACTGCAGGGGGCAACAGTGAACTGCGCATGTGCTGAGCTCGCGAGAACTCGCTGAGGTCCTGCAGGAAAATAATACCGACTGTGGCATCATACCGGTCAAAACAGGTCCGTGTGGCACCCAGACCTAGCGTCCAACAAGTTCTGACAAGATCAGCGTCACCAACAACCTAATCAGATAGTACACCTGGTGTCTCTTTAATCCTGGAAACCACTCCAACCGGAAGAGGGAGAAAGGATGCAGAGACAACAGTGCAGCCTCAGCATGGTATCACAGGAGGTGGAGAGTGGTGAGCCAAGAGCTGGGCTTTGGAGACCACGGTGGATATCTGACATAAGAAGCCAGACCTGGAACTCGCTGGAGGTTGTGGCACAAGTGGCTGCAAGCAAAAAGTTGTGTACCAACTGCAATAAGTAAAATCGAAATATAGACCTGTGGGTGACACAGCTTAGAAACCTGCCCCAAGAAGACTCTACTAACCAGAAGTACAATGATCAAGAGCAAAAGAAGAGACAAAGGCACAATGAATATTACTGAAAACTCCCCTGCAAAGGAGCAAAACCCTATGCCAACCTCAGAGTTCACTGAGGAAGACATTGAGAAAATGGGGCACACAGAATCCATAAGACTCATTTTAAAGATTCTGGTCAAAAATGAGAAGTTAATGCAAGAGTTCAAAGAATTTAAGGAAGCAGTAAAGGAAATCAAGGCTGGTATATCAGAAATTAAGAACACAGTAGAGCAAATTACAAGTACAGTGGAGAGTCTCCAAAATAGAATGAAGCAAGCAGAAGAAAAAATCTCAGAATTGGCAGATATCTCCTGTCACCAGGGGGAAGCAAACAAAAAGCTGGAAGCAGAGCTGGATCAGGCCAAAAAAAGTATTCAAGAATTGAAAGACACTATTAAGAGGCCAAATATAAGAGTTATGGGAGTCCCGGAAGGTGCAGAAAGAGAAGCTGAGTTTGCAAATGTATTTAAGGAAATAATCAAGGAAAATTTCCCTAATCTGGAGAAAGAATTGGGAAACAAGATCCAGGAGGGACGCAGAACTCCCAACAGGCTTGATCAAAAGCGATCTTCACCAAGACATATGATTATCAAGCTCTCTTCAATTGAACATAAGGAAAAGATCCTTAAATGTGTACGTGAAAAACATCAATTGACATATAAAGGAAGGCCAATTAAGCTCACAGGAGATCTCTCACAGGAAACTCCTGCAGGCAAGAAGAGAATGGAGTGACATACTCCAGATTCTAAAAGAAAAAACTTGTCAGCCTAGGATAACATACCCTGCAAAGCTTTCTTTCATCTTTGAAAATGAAATAAAATTCTTCCAGAGTAAAGAAAAGCTAAAAGAATTTGCCTCTTCCAAACCTGCTCTACAAATGATACTTCAAGATGTTCTCTTGACAGAGAAGAGGAATAGCACCTACCAAAACCAAAGGCAAACGGGAAGAACATCCCAGTAAAATGACAACAGAAGACTAAATCAATGAACAACCCATTCCTAAAATGACAGGACCAAAGTACCACCTATGTATATTTAACTCTGAATGTAAATTGCTTAAGCTCAAACATCAGAGATTAGTAGACTGGATTAAAAAACAAAACCCATCTGTTTATTGTCGGGAGGAGACACACTTCAACAAAGATCAGCAGAAACTATTTTGCATGGATTTTGTTGTTTTCTGTTGGTTTCATCTCTTTAAAACACTTTCTTCTGATTAAATCATTCAATGACTCGTAGATCATGCAGTGGCATCATTTTCTTCAAGAAGGTTCTTGATTTTCACTTCTTCAGCTACACGTTGGACATTTAATAGCATGTTGTTTAACTTCTTGGTGTTGTTAGTTTCTTTTTTCTTCCGGAAGTTGATTTTGTTTTGTGGCTCTTCATTTAAGGGAAGGTAAAGTAGTTGTGTAATGGAGACTGTCATATCTAGTAACATGTCATTTAACTTCATGGCATTGTAAATTTCTATTTTTCTTTCTATTGTTGACTCTGTATCATGACTTTTCATTTAAGGGAATGTACAGTAATTATGTAATGGAGACTGACAACCAGATGTGAGGATGCAGTGTGGTCGGCATCTCTGTTTCCAGACAAAGATGGACTTACAGTGAAACTGTTTATATTATGTTTTGACAATAGGATTCTGGACTCTCTGCCATTGTCCATGCCTGCAATGATGAACATATGACTGAATATGAAGAACTATATGTTAATAATGATATAAAGGAACTGGGGGGGGAGGGAATTAGGGAGGGGATAGGGGAATATGGAACTGTATCGTAAAATGATAACAATAATAATAAAATGTGGGAAAAAAAAAAAAGAACTTCTCCAGCTCAGAACTGTAAAAAAAAAAAAAACTTCACCAGCAGATGTAACAGCTGTGCAGTCATCAACTTTAGGGTTGTTTACATTATGACACAGACTTCTTCTTCCTGAGCAAATGAGTCAGCCCTCTTCAGGCTCAATGTGTCATGGGGAACCAGACAGGGGTCCCACTCTTCAAAGGACACAATAAAGAGAATGAAGAGGTAAGCCACAAATCAGGGGGAAAAATTAGGAGCAAACAACATCTGATAAAGAGCTGTTACCCAACAAGTTCAAAGAAATTTTCAAAATGAACAATAAGAAAACAAACAACTCAATTTAAAAGTGGGCAAGAGATCTTAACAGGAGCTCTGTCAAAGAGAAATATGCATGGTATGTAAGCAAATGTGAAGACGTTCAGCATCATATGGCATCAGCAATTTGCACATCAAAGCAGTGATGACACAACACATCTTATAAGACACTAAAGTCTAGAACACCAGTAACATCAAATACTGGTGAGGTAAGAATGTTAAGCAGCTAAGTTCTCATTTTATGCTGGTGGGAACAAAAGCTGGTAAAACACATTGGAACACAGGGCAATAGTTTCTTACAAAGCTAAATACTCTCATACCCTAGGAGCTAGCAAAATGACTTTGGGCCAGTATTATATTACAATGGATTAAGCTGCCACTTACAGTAGAAGCATCCCATATTCAATTGCCAGTACAAACCCTGGCTGCTCTATCTTAATGCATTTATTGTACTTGAAAGGCAGTTACAGATAAGGAGAGAGGGAGAAAGAGAGAACTTCCATCCACATGCTCACCCACAAAATGTCCACAACAATAAGGACTGAGCCAGACCACAGCCAGAAATCTAGAACTTAATCCAGGCCTTCTATGTGGGTTCAGAAGCCCAAGTACTTGGGTATCTTAATGGGAATCTAGAATGTAGTTGGAAAGCTGGGTATAAAACCAATATTCATAGAGGATGCCTATGGCACAGGTGGCAGCTTAACCTGTTATGCCACAATACCAAGCCTCCCTGTTGCGCTGTTTCTGATGGAGCTCTCTGCTAATGTGCCTTGGAAGATAGCGCAAGATGGCTCAGTAATTGGGAACCTGTCATCCATTTGGGAGACCAGTAGAGTTCTTCCTTAGTAGCTTCAGCCTGGTACCAACCTGGGTTTTGCAGTCCTTTGGGAAGTAAATCAATGGATGAAAGATCTCCACCCCACCATCTCTGGCTCTCAATTTCTCTCTGTCATTCTGCCATTAAAAAATTCAGCAACTCTATTCTTTAAAAACCATAGATATTTATCTGAATGAGTTGAAAATGTGTACATAAATAAATATCTTCACATTAATATTGATAGCAATTTTGTTCATAATTTATAGTTGCCAAAGTTGGAAGCAATCAAGATACCTCTCTGTTGATAAACAGAAAAACAAACTATAATACATCTATACCAAGGCATATTGTTCAGAATTACAAAATGTTTGCTGTCAAACCATGAAAAAACATGGAATAATATTTAATGCATGTTACAAATTTGAAGCAGTCAGTAAGTCTAAAAAGGTAACATTCCAACTATATGACATTCTGGGGAAAAATTCTATAGAGCAGATTAAAAAGATGGTTGTTGCCAGGGACTCTAAGGAGGGAAGGTAAGTAGGTGGAAACCATGCTGTGTGACATTATAATGGTGGCTATGTGACATTTTGCATTTGGCAAAACCAGTAGAATGTACACACCAGAAGCGAACCCTAATTTGCACTACAGGACTTTTGTTAACAGTAATGTATTGATTGGGTTCAGGACATAGGGAGGCCAAAACACAGCACACTGGCATGCTGAGTAGTTTAAGCTGAAGGGTTAAGCAGAAGCAGCTTGGGCAGGAAGAATTCTCTGACCTTTGCTTGAGTCAGGTCATAAGACCTTTCTGCGAGAGATGCCCTCTGCTACCCAGGGGCAAAGAGCATCCTAGTCTCTGAACACAAGAGATGTGGAGAGGAGCCCAGACAGTCCTTGCTCATCTCCTGCAGTTTACTGCACCATGAAAGCCTATCACAGATTATCCACTTGACATCATACCTGCATCAGATTTCCACTGCTTCTTAGGTTTTGCTTCCCGATGAAGGCACTTGTGCCAAATAAAACTTATAGCACATAAATGTGCCTTTTTTTTTCTTGTTCATCTGTTTGTTACAAAACCTCAGTTGTAAACTCAGAAAGATAAAATGAAAGGATTTTTCCCTTCCAACACCAGCATCAGTCATCAATCATAACAAATGTAACACACTAATATAAAGTGTTAATTATAACAGACTCAACTCTTTGCTAATGTGTGTGAGGCAGAAGATGATGGCCCAAGTACCTGGGTCCTTGCCGCCCACAAGGGAGACCCATAAGAAGGTCCCGGCTCCCAGGTCTGGCCATTACAGCCCTTTGAGGAGTGAACCAACAGATAAACGACAGACCTAGTAAATCTGGAAGGGGTCACAGCTTAAAATGGAGATCTGACATGGAAAACAGCTCATCTGAGAACTGCAGGGCAGAGCCAGGTGGCACAGAGCACAGGCTGGGCAGTACAGCTCCTGAACTCTAGTGCAGCTACCCAATTCTGTAGTCAGGCCAATGTCAACATTGCAAAATGGGGGAAATAGACAAAATTATCTCTGAAACTCTTTAGTTCAAACACTTATGGCCTTGGATAATACATTCTTTCTAAAATTCAGGCTGCTCAATAATTATAGTGTCGAGCATATCCACAAGTGGCAGCTGCCACTTGTGCTGAGTGTACCCAGAAGCAGCTGGCTCTTGGCAGCCTAGGGGTATGGGCCTTAGGGGAACTGGGGATGGCTTTGGTGGGGACATGTGGGAACCTAGGGGCTCACATCCAAGCAGGTGGAGCAAACCTGGGGATTTCCCCACAAACTTGGCTAAGGATGGGGTAGGATGAATGGAGGGGAGAACCCTAGGTTAACATGCTGGTCTGGTGTGCTGGTGGACCAACTTGGGGAACTTTGAATGAGTCTGGATGTTGGGTATGTGGAAGATTAAAGTCTCAGGCCAGCACATGTGCCAGGAGCTTGGGACCCTGGTGGATGGGCAGAGCTTCAGGCCAGCATACCACCCCACCGAAAGGCTAGGATTTAGAAGGCTGGGCTGGGAAACTCATGTGCTCCTGGGCAAGGGAACAATGGATTGATTAGGGAAAGGGGCAAGGGGGATGTGTGGAAAGGAGGGCCACTGAGGGAGTATGTTGCAGGTGAGGAATGACTTCTGATAGACATCCACAGACAAGGACACAGTACTTGTAGGTAAGTGAGGGAGCTGAGATAGAGTGATTTGGTGGGGGTAAGATGGAGGACTTTTAGGGTCAGATCAATGCAATAGCCCATGTGGGAAACCTGATCTGGGCTAGTTAATGTGGATTACCACTGACCACCACTCGCCAGCACATACAAAACTAGGGCTGGGGGCCTACCTGGCAGGGCTAAACCAAAGTACCTGCTAGAGAAGTTGGAACAGGGAGTGGGTAATGTTAGGCTGGCCCATCACAGTAACCAGCACAGGAGGCAACAAGGTCTGAAGGCAGATTCCATGTGGGATATATGGGTCCACCCCTATGGAACTGCAAGTTCTGTTGGTTTGCTTAAGAACTGGGGTTAGTGACAGGCTAAGTTAGGTATGACTATGGAACCCTCCAATACTCAGGGGCACTAGAATTGGAAACAGGTCTGACTGGTCCAGGCTGCAGCACTTACAGCACATCCAAGACTATGGTGTAGGGAAAGGCCAGGCTGAAGTATCCACCAGCCCATACAAAGCCCAGGATGGAGGAGGTAATGATTAATACCCACCAGCACATGTGAAATCTGGGTCTGGGAGTGGGCCTGGTTGGGAAACTTGGGAAACTCCCTTAGAGGGACATAACTTTTGCTGGTGAGCATGTGATTCAGAACTGGGTGTTGGTCAGGTCAGGCAAGGTAGCTCCACAAGTGTGTGGGGGTTGTCTCTGGAGGGAGGTAGTCTGGACAGGCCCAGGTCAACCCTAGCCCACAGGTATCTGCCAAAACCAGGCTAGAGTGGAGGTCATGCCAGGCTAGGCTATCTAACCTAACTGTTTCCATGAGCCAGGGATGGAAGCAGACTGGGCAGGGCTAGGCTGCAGCACACACCAGTGACAGTTGGGACTGGGGGCAGGCCAGGGCAGATCAGGCTACAGCATCTGATGCCAAAGGCCAAGACAAGAAATAGGCTATGCCAAGCTGATTCAGAGCAACCACTGGCATACACAAGATCCATGGCTGTGAACAGGCTTGGTTGGGGAGCTAAGGGAATGCACTGGCCAGGTATGGTTCCCACTGGTGAGAGCTGGAATAGGGGCAGCAATCTGGACTGGATATGATTGCACTGTCCCTCGGCATGGGTGTGGATGAGGTCTGGGCTGTGTCAGATTGGGCTAGACTCTAGCACCCACTGGTGCCCATGGGAGCCAAGGTAGGTGTAGGATAGTCTGGGCTAGGTCTTGGCACCTGCGGAACAAAGTAAAAACTGTCTCTAGGCATGGACCAGGTGTTGCT